TATTCAGAACTGGTTGCTAAGGCGACTACATTTTCTTCACTTAGTATCAATCGTCCCTTGGATGTTAGCTTAAGATAAAAAGCATTCAACTCTTGCTCAAAGGCACAGTGCCAGCGCCTGTTGGACGAGCGCTTGTAAAATTGTTTTTAATTATTTATACACGCTTGTTAGACTTAATTCATAATCAAATGGCAAATCTTATTGAAAATGTTAATGGCTAAATTTTGCAAAAATCTTTTGCTTTTGAAATACATTTATTGTAAATAGTATCACTTCTGTTTAGTCTCAATGTACATAACACACAAAATGCGAGATTTCCTGACTTCTCTTTCTCTGTCTCACTCATTTTTGCTTTAAAGCATTTCTGCTTTTGCAAATCTAATGTTAGCTCATCTGTATTTTATGCCCGGAACTCAATATAAATGAGCATTTAGGACGTACGAGGCGCAGAGTTCAAAAACTTCTCATGAAGTATACATATTATTAATCAGAACAACTAGCTAAGTCTCCCAGTCTCTGTCTGTCTGCCCATAAACCAGTAACTTTAAGCTTAAAAACTTTTAATTCAATTCATTTATGCCTTCACCCCTTTAGTGAGCCCGATGCACAGGTGGATACTGCATGTATCAAATAACTAATTTAAATGTACACATAACTTTTCCTTAGTAATATTATACGAAGCAATAAAAAATTTAAAAAAGACTTTTCGACCCGTTCTCAAGTTTCTCTTTGTTTTAATGTGCTGTTAATTAAGGGAATTGCTCAATAATTTTGATACGAAGCTCTATAAAGAATTCATTAGCTGCACACTTGAGTTTCGGGTTGAACTTGTGCTGCTGCTGCTGTTGTTGCTGTTGCTTGGGGACGCCCCGCATTTGCGAATTTCAACTTTGCAGCTGGGCAGCCCCAAGTCGATTAAAGCGCCTTCCAAGCAATTATTGTAAGTTTTTCGTTTCCATCTGTTTTCGGTTTCACTTTAAGTGCCGCCGCGTTGTTTTCAATTAAATGAACACCCCGAGTCGACTCGAGTCGGGTGGAGAGAGAGCGAGAGCGAGAGCGAGCTGACCTCTCAGCCACCCCGTGAACCGTAACCCACAATCCGCAATCCGCAAAACCCATGCACAAAGGGCGAGCTGGGAGCAAGAGTGAGCGCGTGGCTGTTACACGCCCCAATCGTTGCTTTCATTATTACACAGCTCGCAAATACAAACAACGATGAAAATTGTTGCCGCAATATTGAAAATGCGGCGGTATTTGGTTTGGATTGGATCCCTTCGGCCGCTCCACCCCTCTGGCCAAGCGCACGCTGCTACCAAAAGTAGCTGCTGCCATGCACGGCCCACAAATTGAGCAACAAACCCTTGGCAACAACAGCAACAGCAGCAACACCAACAGTAACAACAACGACAATCGGCAGCAGATTAAGTTCATGCCATGTTGCAGTTACAGTTACAGATTTTCGCCATTTGCCTGACTTTATTTTTGTTTTCTTTTTTTTTTTCTCATATTCATTTTTGCACATTTGCTGTGCTGTAGCCCAAAACAAATGTTGCCCGCAACCGATTTTCACTATATACACACACACACTCACACACGCACCCCTAGAGCCCCTTGACTTCAAAGCTGCCCCCTAGCTACAAACTACGCCCCATTTGAAACACCCTTTGCGAGTCGCTTTTCCGTTCATTCCTTTTCAGGATCATTGGCAGCGGCTAACGGGGTATTTGCTGTGTGTGTGTCGTTTGGCGAAAATATGTCACAGCATTTGTTACACATTTTCGGGTCAATTTTTTATTGCATCCTACATAAGCCAGGCCAGGCCAGGCCACGCCATGCCAACTCCCACTCGTGATTCTTGCTCCCAGCTGTTGACTACAGCCCCTTGCCACGCTATTCCCCGCTTCTAGCGCTTCACATATGTCGTTGACACTAGCTTGTCTTTTTTTTCAATTAAAACGCGCTCGACTGTAAAATCGTAAACAGTTTTGGCTTGACCCTCTCCCTGACCCTCGCTGTGATTACAACAAACAAAGAAACGTGCAAATTAACTGCAAATTAATTATGCACAACAAACGACGCGCTCGGCCATCCCCTACCCCCTCGCTCACACAAAGCTATGCCAGCTGCCCCTTAATTGTTGCTATAATTGTTCTGACCCCAGCATGAGCCCCCTAGTAGCCGCGCCCAGTCACGATTGTGTGCTTCATCAGCATAGACTCGAGTCGACTGCGACTGGCGCTGCTCAAGGGCGGGGGCAGGGGCAGGAGCCAGGGCTGCTTATAGGCGTTGTCCAAAAGCCGTGCCAAACAATGTGCGGCTGCGGCAACGGCGGCGACGGCGGTGGTCTCGGTCCGCTTTGCAAATGTCGACCGCAAATTAATTTACAACGTAAACTGCAAAATTGAAAATTATGTTGTAATTACTCAATTCTGACATTTTTCCCATTGACCCAAATTTATGGGGCCATGCCAGAGCAGCAGCAACAACAACAACAACAAGTAATCTCTGGATTGCCGAAGATTAAATACCTTTGCATGTTTGCTGTAAGATTCCATTGCTAATCTCCATGCACGAAAATAATTTTTGATTTCAAAATATAATGTTGACAGAATAATCGCATTTTGCAATCTCAACTTAAGATTTATAATTCGATATCGCAATAAGTCACTGATAAAGACTTCATCAACATTTATATTTTTTGATTAAAAAAGTCTTCATATTTATTATACATACAGAATGCAATGTCTCCTGGTTACTGTATAAATCTATACTACTCTCGGTTATTAAGGTATACAGCGATTCAACAGCTAACTCAACATTCACATCCATTGCTAGCATATCCCTGGCCAGGACTCTGTCTCCGTGCTCGTCTCCAGCTCCTTCTCTTCGCTGAACCTTTGTGCCAATTTAAATGCGTAATTATAACGAGTGCGAGCAGTTAGAGAGCGTTCTTGGCCTGCATATTAATTGTGTGCCAGGGGCTGGCGAAAAGTTGGCGAGGGGAATAGCCAAATCTATGCAGGCCAGCACAGACAATAGGAATTTTAATTAAGGATCAGCATGGGCAAATTTATTTAAAGGTGTGCAGTAACGGGGCAGGTTTTGGGGGTGGTGTTGGTAGGGGGACCTTGTACTTGTTGTAACTTGACTTGGTAATCTGTGTGCATGTTTCAGGCATTTCTCAACTTTAGCGAATGCCTTGAATGCTTCATGTGCCCTCGGTGCCAATTGAGCAGCAATTGAATGTAGGGCTGCCTGGCAAGTTGCCAATTAGTTGTGGGAGTGCCAAGAGTTTGGCAAACTCCGCAGTGAGACACAATCTATAGATTGAGCTATGGCCACAGTGATACAGTTATTTGCTTGGCTGCCAAAGTGTCGGCAATACATGAAGTGCATTGAGCCAACGGATCACAAGTTGTTTCCGTAGTGTAGCGGTTATCACGTGTGCTTCACACGCACAAGGTCCCCGGTTCGAACCCGGGCGGGAACAGATCAATACCATTTTTTTTTCTCTCTAGTTTTAACACTAATATAAATATATATAACTTTTGCATATTTTGAATTGTATAGTACTTACATTTTTTTGGAAAGTATTTCTTTTACAAAATTGTGAGTTACTATTAATAATATCATACTACGTCTGTTGTAAAGCTTGAGCTACCCTAATTCGATCGTGTTCATCGGTTTCCGTAGTGTAGCGGTTATCACGTGTGCTTCACACGCACAAGGTCCCCGGTTCGAACCCGGGCGGGAACAAAACTACTTTTTACTTTATTAAGTAAAAAATTTAAAAATTTTTCTAAATAACTATCGGTATTCTATCTTATTATTTTCTTATTAGTAATAATTTAAAAAACTTTTTTGTATAACTTATACTTAGGTATAATCAAATGTCCGACCCGCTACATAAACGCGCACAACTCACTAGGAAATCGCCTCAAAAAGCTTGACTGAAACTTAACAGTAACAAAAAGCTTTAATGTGTGAGAGCTTTTATGTTAACATTAAGCACAAAAGTTTAAATGCTTCTGGCAAAGCAGCTGCAAGTCAAGTTTACATTTCATGATTTACGCTTACTATTGCAACATAGCTTAGAAAATGAATCAACAAAAATAGTTTGTTTTATCAATATTTATAATATGGAAAAGGCTTTTATTGCATTTGATAATTATTATTATTCATGACCTTTACTGACCCACACAAACCAAAATAATGATTGAGAAAAAGAGACCAATAGCTGTTATCTATCTCTCTCTCTCTCTCTCTCTCTCTCTCTCTGGCTCTCTGTATCAGTATCAGCTTTATTAGAGGGGGTTTTTTTAACTGAGAGTTCTTGACTTACCACGCGTTTTATGCACGGAAAGCTTTCTACAAACAAAACGTAAAAGCTTTTTCTTACACACTGCCGGCAATACCAAAAACAAAACACAGCCTGACTTATCAGCGTTATACACAAATTAATTTTGGTATCTGCTGCTTTCCGTTTATCTCATTTCAAGAGTCCAATATTCTTATCAATGGATTTTCGCAAAATTCATTGAGGAATTCACAAGAAAAGCGCGCGCATATTGCCGGCAAACGCACGAAACAAGTCGCTGACGCGTCCGTCAGCTGTGATAACTTTGGGAGAACTGAAAACAAAATCGGGGAGCGATTGAACTTGTTCCAAACATCCCTCCACTACCTACTGCTACCATTAGTCACAGCTGGTATTGTTTATTTACATTGCGAATGAGTTTGACGAAATAATAACAATGATCTTCGAGTCCCCTGATGCAAATAAACAACTTTGTGAAATACTTGAAATAAACTAAAATTTGATATTACATAGGCGATATAGGAATACTTTTCAGAAGTTCCCCTTCTGGTCTCTTCCCGCGATAACAGACTTTGCAAAGTTTTAAAAAATTCATTTTTTATTTTGTCGTTTAACATTAAATAATTTAAGTAACAAATGCTATACACAACAACGCGTAATGTGGTATAAGAATTGTGCCTGTTGAGGAAATTCATAAATATAGTATAAACAGCGACAGGGAGAGAGACTAGCGCGTACATAAACCTAGCTAGAGTTACAACTAAGGCGTCCGCCTAGTCCCGCGTATGATCGCGTATCCAGTCCAGATACTCTGTGACCCGTGTGTAGACACCTGGATAGCCAGGTTCGCCGCACTTGTTGCCAAAGGAGACTACGCCCAGTTGCACCCAGTGCGAGTCGTAACGCATCATCAGTGGACCGCCAGAGTCGCCCTGTGAAAAGATTAGACTTATTAGCTTGGGAAACTCCTCGAAACATTGGCGCAGCCTACTTGACACGCATCAACTCCGCCGTCGGAGTAGCCAGCACATAAAAAGTTCTCATTGATAGGTTGGAAGTAGCTGCGATCGCAGTCCTCGTTCCGCCAGATGGGCAGCTCTGCCTGCCGCTGGCTGGTGGACTCCTTGCCTCCATAGTAGGTGGTGCCCCAGCCCACGACGGTAGCCCGGCGGCCAGGCAAACGTTCCTTGGGCGGCATGCGACCGCCTCGCGGTAGACAAACGGGTATCACATACTTGGACTTACGCACGGGCTTGTCCAGCACAAGTATTGCTATGTCATTGTAGAAGCCAATGCGAGAGAAACTGAGAAGAATCAGGTAAGCAATAAGTGAGCTACCCCTTAAGAGACTTGACGGCACTTACCGTTCGTGTGTGCGCACTTCCTTAACGGCAAAGGTCACCGGATCGGAGGGCTCGGCATCTGTGGACAGATCGATGTCGCCTAAGCGTACGGTAAACTGACGTGCTGCAAATCTGAAAGATAAAAAGAAAGGTCAATCGATTTGGCATGAAAGGTTATCTTAATGCATTGGCAACTCAACTCATTGATGTCATCTTTTCTAATTTAAATTTGTTTTCGACTTGAGAATGCGCTTTCAAAGCTCAATGCGCTAGAACTAAAAAGCTTTTACAAGTGGAAATCCTGTATGTGCTTTTGAAGCCCTATCTCCCAGTAGTCAAAAGCTACATCATATAATACTAAAAGCGCAAAGCTTAATGATCCTTTAAATCAAGCCCCAAAGATCTTCTGAAACGATCACTTACGGCTTTTGTCTGGAGTCCCTGGTACAATGTGCCGCAGTCAAAATATATTTGGAGCCAATGAGCGAGCCTCCGCACCAGAACTCCGTGCGCTTGGGACCGTGCAAGAAGATGGCGGCCATCCAGGGCCACTGTCCATTGGGCGCTTCCACGCCACCTACAATGCGACCCGTCGAGTACTCCTGCTGGCCGCACTCATCCGGATCCACGATGTTGTTGGCTATCTCGTCCAGATCCTCTGGCTCCAGAGGCGGCTCTGTAGTGGTGCTGGTCGTGGTTGTCGGTGGTTTCTTTTGAGGAATGAGAACTAGACCTGAGGTGGGTCGTGCCGTGGGTCGCAGTGTGGTGCGCAGAGTGGTGCGCTTGGTGGGCGCCAATGTGGTGGTGCTTGCGGGCGCTCTGGTAGTCAGCTTCAGGGGACGCTGCGTCGTCAGCACTGTGGAGCTCGCTGCGGCAGTTGCAGATACGGGACAACAAACGCCCGGTACAAAGAGGCTCTTGAAACAGAGCGACTCCCGCAGGCTGCTCAAATTGAGGAGCAGAGCGGGACAGCTGCTCAGATCCTCGCAGCGGCCCGGCCTACCGCTGGGCGTCTTGCAATAGTTCTCCACATCCTTCGCAGTGCCCGCATCCTCACTGGCCAAAGCCAGTTGATCTAGAGGACGTAGCGTGCTGCTGCTGTAGCTGCTTGAGCTCGCGCTCGAGATAGTGGTGGTGGTGCGCGGCGTTGTGGGTATTTTGATCTTCTGTTGTGATTGTGGTGTAGCCTGGTTCGGCTCCTCGTTGGGCTTCTTCAGCTTCTGCTTGTTTTTGTTCTTCTTGCGCTTCTTCTTCTGCTGCTGCTTCGCCTCCTTGTTCTCCACAAACATGGGCTTCGCTGGAGGTTGCTCCGCCTGTCCAATGCGCTTCGTGGCGACTTGTATGGCGCTCAAATTGGCTGGCTTGCCCGCTGGCAGCAAACTGTTGGCGGAGAGCGTAGTGCTTGATGTGTCCAAAATCTTACCGGAGATGCCAGGCATGGACTCAGCTTTGCCTAGGGATAATGCAGTTGTGGAATCACTCAGTTCCGTAGAACTGGTGCTGGTGCTGATGCTGAGGCTAGTGGTGGTGGCAGTGGTGGTGGTGCTGCTGTCTTCATCATTGTTGTTGCTACTGCCGTTCTCCGCTTTGCTCTCCTGGCTACCGCGCGTCATATCCACGAGTATGTGGCCAACGTGATTGAGCGCGCCCAGCGTCTCGGAGATGCGGTGAAAGGTGGACGGGGAAAGCAAACGTGGCAGAGACTCATTGCTGCTGTCGCCGTTGCTGGCCGCACTTTGCTCCTCATCGCTGTCATAGTATTCACTCGAGCCCTCGATATCATCGTCGTCATTCTCACTGGCATTGCTGCTGCTACTGCCGCTGCTAGCTGAATAGGAACTGTACTCCAAGTCCTCGGCCAGCTGGCGGCCCAGCCGCTTGTCGTGCAGATGCGGCTGAAAGAAAGACGCTGCCTTAATGGTTAAAGTTATGAATGTCCGTGGTAACCAAATTGCACAGTAAATCACTTACCATCGTTTGTCAAGTGCTGCGGCTGCTCATCGTCCTCGGCGGGAACTTGTGCCTGCGCCCAGATGCCAGTTCCAAGCGCTGTAAGCATAGCATCAGAAAATATATTAATTAAGTTCACAATAGTCGAATTAGACTTGAACTCAGTCACTAAATATTTATACATATTAAAAATATTTTTTTCCTTTTAAGTTGTTCATTTCTACATTTTCAATTTGAGGGCGTCGTCAATCAATCAAACTATAAATGGTGATCTTTCATAATAAATAAAATACTCAGTTGTTATAAAGTAATATATAAATTCTTTCCGCTCATTCTGCCAGATTTCTGGTATTTATCTTTGATATTCAATCAATCAATCAACACAACAACTTTCAGACCTCAGATAAACTCACGATAAGACTCTGATCCGCAGATGTTCGATATGAAATGCTTTCAAACACTTTCTGACTAACTGACCTAAGGCACAATCCATACTGAAAACTTATGCAAAAGCTCTTTCAAGTTGGGTAATGTCTCAAATTGGCATTACGCATCTGAAGTGCTGCAAAAAATGAGAAAGTATGCCGCTTGTGTCTCTCGCTCGCTGTATAGTCGTATAACCGTTAACCATGCCTGTCCGGCCCTGCTCGCTGTGCTGGCCATGCATATCCGCATGTAGCTCTTCAACTGAAGCGTTTAATGTTTATTTAGTTGTCTGTGACATAATCGCAGTTCGCATTGGTTACGCGCCCGCCAAATGACTTGCAATTTGCTTATTTCTTTGGGCAGAGCTCCCAAGGGTTCCTCTTAAGTAGCTCATTTTGCATATGTGCTGAAGCCGCAGCTCAAGGTCGCTGAAAGATTTCTCCAACTCGAGGTTAATCTCTGGGATCTGGCGAAACACATTGGGCTGTTATAGTTTGGCTCAAAATTGTTTTTGTATTTTTTTTTTTTATTTATTTTTTGTTGTGCGCCTCTCATTAACATTTTTCGAGGTGTGCACTGCAACTTTGTCACTTTCACTTGGGAATAAAATTGCTCATACCAATGCCAAAATGTTTTTTGTAGTCGATTTTGTTTTATTTATTTTTTTAATTTTCTGGCTGAGTCAAAAAAAAAAAAAATTGGCCAATTATACGAAAAGGCTTTTTGGCCCGCATATAGAAATAATTTCTGCTGAAAAGTGAATGCCCCCAGACACAATCGAACTTTTGTTAATACAAAAAAATACTTAAAGTACTTGAGCACTTTGTGTGCTCCACTTGGGGTTTTTCTTACAATGAATATTCAGAGCATGTCAAGTTTTTTTATTCACTAGACTGAACATTGTTTAAGAATTTTTGATTTTTATTTTAATTTTATTTAAGCATGTTAATTAATAATTAAATATATAAATAAATATTTTTGCAAAAAATATATGTGAAAAATTAAATAATTAAAACAAATAAATATTTTTTTGAAGAATATGTGACAAAGTAAAAATTATATAAAATCAACAATAAGATATTTAAATTGCCTTAATATATAATATATATTGCATCTAATCAGACAAAGCTATAAACGGATTTTTTATGCCAAAAATAAATGAAGAAATAAATTTCAGTCATTTTTTAAGGTAAGAAATCAGCTGAATAAGAAATTTATATATTAAATTTCTTTATATATATAGGTGCATTCATATTCTTTTAAGCAAAATAAAAACCTCTGCTCAGCTTAACCAAATCAAATGGCAAAATGTAAGGAAAAATCCAAGCAACAATCAAGCAGCTGTTTCTATTATTATTTTTCTTCAATGCCAATGAAAGTGAAAATCCCGGCTAACCGGCTGGGGAAACTGAAAATAGTTAGCGTAGCGGGGAAAAATTTGCAATTGAGCAACGGCCACAGCGCGATGCGACAATAAAAAAGACACAACGAACACGAACACGAAAAAAAAATTAAAAAGCAGCTGCAATAACTTCCGAAGCGACAGATAAATATAACATTAAATTGTAGACAAGAAACCCGAATTGCTGGAGTTTGGCTTTGTGCAGCGAGCGATGACAGCAACTTTTTACTATTTTTTAGCTTCTTCTGCTTTTTGTCTTTATAAAAATGTAAGTAGTTGCATAATATGTTTGGGTAGGCCGAGCGGTTGTTGCGGTAATACCGAAAAGGCACTAACTGCCAGGCAATGCACAAATCGTTTCTCGCTATCTCTTTCTTTCTCTCCCTCTCCGACTATCTCTGTCACTCACTTTCTGTATCTGGCAAATGTTAATTTGTAACCACGACTTTTTTATGCAGTAGCTGAGTCAATTTGATTGGCCTTGGACACCTGTGTGTGTATGTGTGCAATTTGCATTTGGGCAACTCGTTTTTGTGACGTCACTTGGCGGAAGATTTTGCCAAAGAAAGTTACAGACTTAGTCACGTTTTGTTGTTGTTGTCGTGTCATGTCTTGCTGTAAAATGCGCATTATGTCGTTTTTCCTGGCTCATTAATTTGAAGACAACAAAAAATGAAATAACATAAAACGAGCGACAACAAAGCGATCGACTTGAACTTGAGTTTAGGGTTTCACTTTTACAATACACCCCATGAAGCTTTGCGAGAGATGCATAAAGCTAACTATCAATTTCGATCTCTTTTGGCTGTTGAAATAGGTCTGAGCCGCACTGCCGATTTTTTTAATGGATCTGAACTCAATTCAATTCGCTGGCCGCTTGGCATCCGTTCCACATTCAAGTTCGTTGCCTAAGTCTTTTGTTTTTGGGCTGCACAAATAAACATTTGTGTTATATTTTTGATTTGGGGCAACAAGCACATAAAATAACACTCACGCACGTTCATTAAATATTACAAAATATATATGTGTGAAGGAAAATAGTATTGCGCTGCGCTTTCGTATACCCACCTAGGCACAACAGATATGCACTCAAATGCATTTTGGTTTCGTGGAGTAAACAAGAGTTTCGACTTAGCTTTTATTTCATTTGCAATAATATTTGAGTTTATTTTGGAATTTCGTTGGATTTGTATCGTTATTTAACACGACTTAACGAAACCGCCACCGTTGACGCACTTAACGAAACTACGCTCGCTCCACTGAAAATGAAAGTGTTAAGCGCGGTGTTAAAATGACTTTTTCTATATATAAATATTTATATATATATTTTTTGTTAAGAAATTTGCGCGCTTTTATTATTATTATTAGCCGCTTGCTGCTTATGAGCTGTTAATTGTCTCGTGTTATTGCTTGAATTTTGTAATTTTTGTTGTTACTTATTTCGTTTGTTTATTTTGCGAATTGCATAAATGAATTTCACTTCGAAAAGCACACACAACTTTTCGCTGATTTTTTCACTTAAATTCAGTTGAATTTTTGGCTTTTTATTTATTACAATTGATTTGATTTAGCTAGAGTTGTTGCGCCTGCACCGCGGCTGCTTCCGTGTGCCGTTGCTGCCCGCGTTCGACTGAAACTGAAACTGAAACTGCAAAAGACAAAACGATACAACAGCCACAGCAGCAGCAACAACAGCAGCTTCTACGGCAGGCAACACAATAAAAGCGCCTCAAGTCGCGCTCGCAGACAGCTTTAGCTTTGGCTTTGTCGTTGGAGAGGCCGCGGGGCAGCGGGACAGCGAGACCCGGGTACTGGCCTCTCTCGCCTCTTTCGTTTTGCTTTTATGCATAGAGTGCGGAGTAAGACCACGAAGGTAATGCCGCAATGTACTGGGTTTTTACTTTCTTTCGGTGTCGGCGCGCATTGCATTGATGGATCGCTTCGGCGAGCATGCTGTGCTTTAAATTCTGTAATTAACTGAGGCTTAACAAAAAAAAAAGCCGAAAACAAAACGGAAAAAATAAACAAATACCTGCAGCTGCTGTCACCCCACCTCATTCTGTGCACCTTCAAAGCAAACCCCAATGAACCCGCCTCCAGCATTAGCGCACTTCAGGTAATACCCAACATATTTAGTCAAAAACAATTTTTTGCGCAACCTTCGCTGTTTTTTGTTTTTTTTTTCTTTCTGTTATATTTGTTGTAGTTGCTGGAAATTAGTGTCTGGCCATCGACTATTGAGAGTGCGCGTTCAATGTTGTTTCGGATGATTCACGCATTTTGCTAGTTGGTTTCCCCCGGCAACCGTTTTTGGCCTACTTAAAATGCGAATCGATTATGCAGCTACGTTTTTCTGTCAAACAAATTAAAAAAGGTCGAAATACTAGAGTTTTTTGTTTAGCTCTTGTTCAATACAGTTCGGTGGAGCAGTGAAAAACCCAAATGATTTGCTGTTTCGGTTTTTTTAAAGTGAAATCCTTGACATGTCTATCTTCAAAAGTTGTAAAAGAAGCACAATGATTGATAAGCACTTTTTATGCCCTAATTATGGAATTGGTATGAGTTACTAGCTTTCAATATTAATATTTAATATCAAGCCACACATACAAAACGAGACCCAGTATAGACCAAAGCAAGAGCTTATCTCTTAACGTACTCCAAAATATAACGTCTCATAAAAGTGTATAAGCAGCAATGTCTGAAAAGAAATGTAGATCAACCAACACAAAAGACTTAGGACACAAACGTCCTAATTGCATTCAATTCTTTGAAAGTTAGAGACTGACCAGACCGAAAGCTCTGACATAGTAACACTCGGCCTCCGGCTATATACATTTCTCAAGCCCATCTGTGTCATCTTGTGCGAAGGAGTATGTGTACTGCTGCCGCGTCATTAACGACCGTGAAAACCAAAAGTATGGAGCGTGTGACCAACATAATTAATTTGGTATTCATACTCATTCTGTGCCCCAAGCTGTGCGCCAACTGCAAAAGTTAGAAAACATTTTTTTTATTATTATTTTTACACTATTGTTCGCCAGCTGTTGACACCTTTCAGGGCAAAAGCAACAAAGGCCATAAAACTATAATGGCAGCATGTAACAAAAACGTTGTAGCAACTACATGAAAAGAAAACAGCTAATAAAAGCAAGCGTCTGGCTTAATGGCTGAGAAAATGTGACAATAACTTAATAAGTTTATGTGAGTCTATGGAAACAGAGGCAAGCAAATATAACTAGATTCAAGTAGTCCGAGTTGCCTCAATAGATTCTCCTTTGATTTGCGCGCGTTTGAGGTCGCTTTTAGCATAAAGCACGACAGCGCTTTTTAGGAGTGAATAAAACGTGTGTAAGCTTTTGCATGCGCCACACACATAAGCTTTCGGAAAGCTTACGCGGCGAGCTTTCTTTAAGATTCGTTTGATTCGCTTGATTCGCTTGAACTTTCACTCTGAGCTATTATTTAAACAATATATTTAAAATATGTTGTCGACATATCACATTATCTCTATCTATTTTACTCTGAATAATGCTGTCGATAATACTTCCCTTTCCATATTATTTGTATGATATATTTATTAACTAAATTCATTTTATTTACAATTAAAAGCAGTTTGTAAGATATTAAATTAGCATTAAGAATTAGGCTACAACTACAATGCCATTGAAATGTGTTAACCTTAAGCATTTAGGAATTGAATTCATATGCTTATCATATATATATATATTTATATACATATATATATAGATATATATGTATATAGAGATATTTTGTAGAGTATTAGCAACGATTTGCTACAATAATTCTTATGCTCTTTCAGTTTAAAATTCGTTGACTTAAAGCTTTTGTGTCTATGCTTAAGACTTTTCATACATATTTAAATATTTATATATTTTGTGAACAATTAACATTTAATAAAGTTGTACGACTCGCGCGGAGAGAGGGAGAGGAAGAGCTTTAGCTTGTGGGATCATATCATATTTACAGTAGATATAGTAGTTAGCATCTTAGAGATACTCGTAAAACACAATCCAATAGATGCAATTGAGACTGGCAAAGAGTGCCGGGAAGAGCACACGCGATGATCGATCGATGTAGATGGCGCGCTTTAGGCGCTCCTGCGCGGGCGTTAGCTTCGGCTTTGGCAACTCTGGTTCCGGTGCTGGCGGCGGCGGTGGCGGTGGCCGTATAGTCGGTGTCAATATTATATGCGACTCCTGACGCGGTATCCAAGGGCCATCGGCGTCTAAGGGAGGACGTACCACACGCCGTGTTGTGGTCACAATCTGCAAGAGCAACGTTCGAAGAGTATAGAATAAAACCCCCAATATGTTTCTCATATCCTACTTATGCTGACAGCTAACAGCTTAGCATATAAAATAGAGCGGCTCTAAACCAACTTTAACTTACGCGTTTATTTTTGGTCATCTCGTCGAAAATCTTCTCAATCTTTTCAATTTTCTCATCCGCCAGGGGCAGCATCGTGGACTTTTTATTCGAAGCGGCATTGCTGCCAGCTGCTGGTCCCCCTTCCGCCTCTTTTTTGCCCGGCTCGCCCGCCACGGGCTTGGGCGGATATGCCATCGGCTTAGGTATGGGCGTATCGCTGAGCACAATGTTTATCAGGCAATACTCCATGAGGGCCATAAACACGAATACTGTGCAGACGGACATGAAGGCGTCCACAGCCTTCAAATAGGAGACGGGTGGCAAAGATGACTGCGACTTCGCATGCTGCGTGGAGAGCGTGAGCAGAGAGGTCACGCCCAGCGTGACTCGAGCGGGCGCTGCCTCAGGCTTGATCCAGAAGGACACCCACGACATGATCACAATCATGCAGGTGGGTATATAGGTATTAAAGACATAATAGACCAAGCGACGCTTCAGCGTGAAGACCACCTCCAGGCAGGTGAAGTTTCCTGTCGAATAGACCTGAGTGCAGTCGGCAGTCTCGTTACGTATCAGCGCCACCTGCGGCAACTCGATGTTCTCGTCCACCACTAACGGCGTGGTGGGATCCCATTGGAAGATCAAATCATCTGTTGTGTGAGATACTAAAGAAACCACAATGGGTACTAAGCAATTGAGTTGAAAACTATTTACAATTATCTTTTGGCTTGGATCAGGCTCAAGTATATTCTTTGAAAAAGTGAAAGGGAAAGATAAAAAGTAAAGGTAAACTAAAAGGTAAAGGGTATTTGAAAACAATATTTAAAGAAAACTAAATTTGGGAGGGAAGGCTCCAACTTGATCACATTTACTTCTTGTCAAAAAGTTTTTAATTTTACGAAGAAATTAATTTCTTTACGAATTTCACTATATAGGAACATTTGTGTATCAAAAATTTATAAAAGATATAAGTTCTTTATTTAATCGTATTGAATTGTTGAATTTTACCAAGAACTAAATTTACCTACGAACTTCGCTATGAACGTACTTCAAGGAAAATCATTTTTAAACAAAATCATTCATCAAATCAAAGAAAACTAAATTTGGGAGGGAAGGCTCCAACTTGATCACATTTACTTCTTGTCAAAAAGTTTTTAATTTTACGAAGAAATTAATTTCTTTACGAATTTCACTATATAGGAACATTTGTGTATCAAAAATTTATAAAAGATATAAGTTCTTTATTTAATCGTATTGAATTGTTGAATTTTACCAAGAACTAAATTTACCTACGAACTTCGCTATGAACGTACTTCAAGAAAAGTCATTTTTAAACAAAATCATTCATCAAATCCAACTAATTATTTTAAGTATTTTCATAAAGAGCCAAAATTCATGTTTTTTAAAAATTGTAAACAGAGTCTTCTATTGACGATAAAGTCAAATTCTTCCATGAAAATGGAGTATAACCCAACTTATATTATGTATAAGTAATACGTAATATTACAACTCACAGCTCTCCATTTGCAGCTTGCACTCCTGTGTGTCATGAGGATAGATGGCAAAGTTCATGATGCAGGACAGCTTAAGCGTTAGCTTTACCATGTAGAGGATCGTCTTGTCCTTGTAGAGCCACATGTAGTGATTGGGTATGGTCATTGTTTGGAATGTAACCGATTTGGCATTCTTAAAGAAGGAGTCCGGTCGCCACATATTCTTCAGCCAATCCACCTCGAGCAGGCGATACTCTTGCGTCATGTTCTCGGGCAGCCGTAAGCGATGATCTTTCCAGGTTTGGGCGAAGAACACATCCGCCACATAGGTCATGGAGTTCTCGTCGATGGAGTCCAGTCCCATGACCGTTACATGAAAGTAAACTATGGTGGGCTGTCCCTCCTTCTTGGGCGGACGCATTTTATCGTAGCGCTTGATGTCCTCCGGCAAGATGTCGGTTATAGCCAGACTTTGTCTAGAGGGTTTTTAAAGTTAAGCTAGGGCTTCCAAGCAACGCTGTCATACTCACTGAAATTCACCCTTGGCAAAGTGTTTCAAGCATATGCAGCATATGACGAGCAGTATTATTTGAGCTACCATGTCTACAGATGGGTTCCTTCTGCAACGAGTGAAATATTGTCTTGAGTGCTTAAACAGCTAGCCTTAGATCGATTGATGGCCGTGACACAACCTTTGCTGGGGATCAAAGCAAAACTCTCGAACGGTGTCAATGTCATTGAAAAGACATCGAGTGGCTCAAAAATAGCGACAATTATGCTGCTTAGCGGTGTAAATAAAATATGAACTAAAGGACAATGGCGGGGACAGTTAGCGCACTTCCTGCACAATAGCCTCGGCATTGCCAGCCTAACTACCTGTGCATCTCGCTCGCTGTGTCTCTGTCTTGCTCTGTCTACACGTATAGACCACAATACCGACTTAATTCACAATTAAAGCCACTCGAGGCGGGCGCGTGGGTGTTTTCTGGGCCAGAGGACAGGACGGTGCTGAGGAGGGGCACTCCATAAGGGGCCCATGCGCCTTTTGTGCGCTGCCGATGCCGCACGGAATGTGCCCCATTGAACGCGACACGGCTACAGCTACGACTACGGCTATGGCTTGAAGGCAGCAAATGCAACGGACGCATTAGACAAGGACAATTCACGTGGTAAACGATAAATGTGGGGTAGCTAGTGCCCTAGACTACTAGATGTCATGGGCGACGGGCTGGGTAACTGAAAGTTCGTATTCCTCATGCGTAACTAGGCCAACATGCTTAATTAATTCCACGGCTTAATTAAATCAAGCATCGCGTTAACAAAGATCAGCAGTTTGAAGTTGTGGAATAGATGTGAGCATATTTTAATACAAAATTTACTAATAGCTTAATAATTTTCTATTGAGTTTCATCTTGGGAATTTTGTATGTTCAATTATCCACTTTGCATTCTTAAGCCCACCTTCCGTTCTGAAATTCTCAACTAGTTCGAATCTCAAATGACAAGAAAATACTATACAGCTAGAGCTATGCGAACAACCTTGACTCAAAAAATGTCGTGTTAAATTTTGTTGTATATACTTTGATATATATATATTTGTTTCTATATTTGTCCGATTAATAATTTAATAATTTAGTTAAAGCTTAAAAAGTTGATCATAAACAAATTAGTGGCTTTTAATGGCTTTAATTAATGCAATAAAAAGTATTTATTTTCCTTCTTAAATATTTTTTAGAAGAATTATTTATAAATAAATAAAACCAAGCAAAATTTGACTCGCAATCAAGAAATATTAAAAAAATCTTTACCAAATATATCTTGATTGATTTATTAAGATTTAGCTGACTCAGTTTATATATAAATATTTAAATATCTTAAATTTATTTAAGCCATATTCCTTTAATTTGATAAGGTTCCTTATGGTTTTAATGGAATTATATAACTTTAATTTCTCGAATATATTATTTATGTTAATTACTTTTTGGGTGGCTTAAAACTGAAGCAGTTATAGCAAATGGAGGCGTAGCACAGATTCTTTAATCTTCACAATGATTATATAACATCAGCTCGACGCAGTTGCAGACATTTTGCAGATCATTAAGGAGATTTTAAATTTTATTTATAGACTTTAAAAGTTACTTTATTTAATTGTAAATTTTATATATATATTTATTTTTGTAATTTTCAGCACAGTAATTTTTGATCATATATATTTATATATATTTATATTTAAATATATATATTGTATTTAAGTTTTATATTTATTCCGACTTGAACGTCTTCGCTGTTCGATGTGTCGCTGACAACTGACGTTTGGCAACGAGCGATTTGAATTTAAAACGTTGCCAGGCGAACAGAGCAAAGAAAAAAACCTTATTCACCAACGAACAGGCGCAGGATGCTGGATACAAGCTGTAGATGCAGATGTGTGTGTGCTATTGAGACTGTGGTTGAGTCGCTAAAAAAACCTTTGCACGCTAGCAAAAAAAAGTGAAAGCCCTGTGAGGACAAGGAAAACTCTTTAATACAGACTGTTCTTGAGCAAGTATGCGATATATATGTGCCTATGCATGTATTGTCTATATCTACACATATATATCTTTCAGTGTATGCGTGTGTGTGTGTGTTTGTCTTGTCATAGTCACTTAACATAATTTTGTCAAGTGCTTTGGCATTGCCTTTCCACATAATCTGCTCGTGCCTCTGTCGTCATCGTCATTGTCATTATGAGCCAGGGTCCCCTATCTTAGCCCCTTCGTCCACCATCTACGACTTTCCAAACAGCCACTCTTAGCCAGTATTCAGTACATTTAGCTGCACTGCTGCAGCCTATTGATTGCCTATGGACCCTCAATTGCATGCGATTCGCGTGAAAAACTGTCCCCAGTCTGCATTATGAGAAAATTGTTTCTTTAGTTGTTGCAATCAATTGGCTTGTTAGTTGCCACGAAACAAGCCAACAACTTCTCAAGTGGCTCCCAAGTGCAGTGTTTTTTCGGCCCATTTTTGTCGCAGCATCAGCTACAACAACAGCAGTGGAATAAAAGCAACTTAATTTATTTCTCTTGCAGCTGTCTGCAGTGCTTAAGCATTCCGAATGGCTGTTAATGGCAAGGCATCTTATGGTAATCCAATGAACCCGCTGACGTCAAACTGGGCATGCGAATATTCATGGAAAACATTAGTTGCTCTTGAAGACAATCCTGAAGGATACACAAAAGAGTTATGGGCTGAAAGAGATAAAAGAGATATCTTTAAAGGAAAGAGACTACAAGAAAATAAGTCAATATATGCATATCGAGATATTCAACAGTGCAATGCCCAAAGAGCATCATGAGAATTGCATAGAAAGACTGCGAGTAAGGCGTAAGGAGTTGCTGCAAACCAGAGAGAGAAAGATACGGAAACACAGGGGAAGAAGAAGAGATACAGAAAGAGATACAAAAAGACTGAGCAGGAGAAAGGAACAGTGACAGAGAGCAAAAAATTAAGAGAGAGAGAGAGAGAAAGAGAGAGTGTATTAGAGATTGACAGTACTCACAGTCAGAAAGAAAGACAGAAAAAGAGAAAGAGAGAGAGAGAGGGAGAAAACTGAAGGGATTAGTGAAAACAGCAGAGAGAGAGAAAAAGCGAGAGAAAAAATAAAGTGCCTGAAGCCATTCACAAGTAAAAAAGAAACAGTGAAATGAAGCTCGTGTGGGACTCATAGTATGTAAGAGCAAGGGCCCGAGATATCTTTGAAGAAAAGTCAAATGCAAGCAATAAATGGATAGAGAAAAGAATAAATAAGTAAGAAAAAGCAGAAGGAATGCCATGGTCGAGAATAAAGCAAAGATACATGTTAGGGTTATCCGAGGTACTGAAATCTTTGCCTCTATCACGAGCTGCAGTCAAAGCTGAATTATAGAAATCGTGCATAGAAATCACGTGAACAACAGCACAGCACAACACGCTTCATATGAAACTGAAAATGAATTAGTTCTTGATCAAAAAATCAGCAATTAAATTAAGTGGCCCAAACGCTACACGTAATCTGATGTCTTAGACAGGCTGTAATTAAAAGACAGGCCCGATGCCACCTGTGACAGGGGCAGCGAGTGTATCCAAGCTAACCTTGAAGCATATTACTTGCACACAACTACAGAAACATATCCATGAGAGGCCTAAGCCTAGGCGTGCGGCCTTTTGCCACGCTCATAGCGCCGCAGCACTCAACGCCTTTGCCGCAGACACTTTAGCAACACATCCTTTGGCCTTCCAACAACAAAAGCAGCAACAACTCGTCATCAGCGTCGTTATTAAATTATCTCTGATGCGATAATAACACACACTTAAGTAACTTGCCGTGGATCTAACTAAGGTCCCCTCAGCGCCCTGTGCTGTCCCCCTTCTCATTTCCCCCCTTAGTTATGCTATAAAAAGCTGCTGATTTTTCTATAGTTTATTCGAATGCAGTCGAGCTTGACGCTGCTTTTGGACCTGGACCTAAGTACTTGCCACAAGCTGTGGCTAGATGCAGCGCTTGCTTTTCAACTAAACCAAAAACTACGCCCGGCCCCGGCCCTCGCCCCACTCCTTGAGCCTCCGCCAAACGTTTTAAGTGGTGCTCTTAACTTTCTGCTGATGGCAGCAGGCAGTGCGACGCGCCAAAGATTTCTTCTCTATTTATTTTTATTTTTTGCACGCTTTTAGCTTGAATAGTTTTTATTAGACTTGTGGGGGACCTTTTTATTTTGACAGACTACGTCATTGAAAATTTGTAAAATACATTTTACATTCCATGACTTGCGAGTCTACGAGTGATGTCTTTGCGAAGGCTAGAAACGAAGGTCGTTAAAGGTGAGAACTGCCTCTCAGATTTGACTGGTTCACACTTTATTATTTATGTTAACGAATATATTATTAAGGTACGATTTTTCGCGGATTTTTCAGTTGAGTTTTGAACTGATTCAGTTCTTTGACAATTCTGGAAAATTGCTGAAAAATATTCTATGATTTTTCCAGTTCTCTTTTCTTGTAATCATCAAAGAGACTTGAAAAGAATTCTTTGTTCTTTTGACTTTAATTTGTGCCTCTTCCGAGTCTAAGCTGTTGTGGGTTGGGAATTTATTTTAAGACGTGATTTCCTCACTACATTTTCAGGTGAGTTTGGAAGTGGTTTAATGGTTTGATACTTCTACTAATTCGTTTGACAGCCATTAAAAATGCCTAAAATAATTCTATGAAATTCGATACTAAAGAATTAAAAAATTACTGAAAAGAAGATCCTAATTAATAACAGGAGAATGTTATATTCTCCACTCTATTTCATGTGAGCTGTGTGTTTCCTGTTTGCAACCAATTGCACAACTATTCAAAAATTAATAAGACCTGTCTGTGCGTGCTGAAAAGTGTGACCCACATTGGGCCACCACATGCGGAAGTCCATTGAATGGAATGCAGCCAGCTTAAGGCTCCAGCCACCCCAACTCCCAAAGACGAGCACCATTCATGAAAGCGCCCGAGACGAGGACATTGAACCGCCTTCGAAATGGTTAATAAGGGAGTTGTGTAAGGGGTTGGGCGGGAGGAGGCCGCCCTTAGGGGTTGAAAGCAACAGTTGCCCAGGTGGAGACCAGGCGAGTGCGTCATTGTCGCCATTGTTGATAAACAAACCTGTAGCCGACTTTACGGCAGCACGTGTGGCCTCTGCTCGGTGGTTAGTTAGTTGTTGCATGTTCGGCTAGTTCTCGCGGCGTCAGGGGGTTGTTCCGCGGCGCATGCGTCAGTCTCGAACAGCTGAGCACTGCGCCGTGACGTCGCTATTGATTTTTACACGGCCAGAAGACGCGCATCGCTGCGCACTGCAATTCGTGCTGCCCCTCACAAAAAAAGAAAACGCACACAAGCGCAAACACGCACAGAAAATGCATTAAATATTCAATTGTGAAAGTTAATAATTAAAAGAAAATTGCAAAATAATATAAACATTCGGCAGGCAGGAAAAGGAGCTGCGCGCTGGCAATTCGGAAACGTGGCCCAACATGATTAAATTGCGACCATATGTCCCCTCCAAGCGCATCGCCATACGGGACTCCTCGATTGATGAAGACATTAGCGACGATGTGGACGACGAGGTGTTCATCAAGGATGCCAGATCCGCCAAGGTGAGTCACCCAGCCGCCAAATGAGCTCATCTCGTTTGTTATGCCTATGTAATAAATCAGCAAAAAAAATTGGTGTTTGTGTTCTTAGATTCGCTTTCGCTTGCTTTTCACTTTCGTTGCTAGGGCGCCTTATAAATTTTTTTCTTAGGCATATGTGAAAGTAATTTGACACTTTTCACTGTTTGTTTTCTATATTAATTTTGGCATGTGCCCAAGCTATAATTTCTATTTTATAAACCTTAACAAGCCCTTTAGCCTGCTATATAATACTGCAGCTGGGATGCAAGTATTTTGAAAAACATTATCGATAAGAACAGATATCATTTTAGCCGTCTCCATAATATAGAAAATCGAGAATATGCTGCAAACAAAGCAGGCTTTATAAATAATTCCGAATAGCGCTCTGTCAGTGGTTTCAGTCGTCACAGAGGTGTCGTATCGAATAGATTTCAACTTTCAGTAATTCGCATTTCATATTTAACATATCAATAATAAAACAGTAGATATCTTTAATTTATGTACTACTCGTATGCCTCCATATATATTCAAAAAGCATTCGCGTCTAAATCGTATCAAGGTCTTAAATCCAATAAATTGGGGCGAGACAGTTTGCTGGAACAATAAATATATATAAAAATATATAAAAAAATATAAATGAATTAAGCTTGCAAGGCGAATTCAGAGCGAATGCGCTTACTAAAAGGTATGCAACACAAATTGTTTCCTTATGCTTTGCCCTGATTTACGAGCAAGCTGTTTACACGTCAATTCGCCTAACGACGACTTTCGCCTTACGCTTTAGACGAATTCGCTGTTTCCTACGCAGGCTGAATTCGCCCTTAGTTCGACTTTTGCGAGCAACCAGTGTTACTCTTTTCCTAATTCGCCTCAGTTCACTGTCGAATGTTCGCTTCAATTGCAGCGCAGCGAAGAGCAGGGGCTGAAGCGTCCGCTGATGGCGCCGCGCCGGAAGCACAGCTCTGGGTCGGTCAGCAGCTCGACGCCCATTATGAAGCAACATAAGAGGAGACGCTGCTGCCGCTGCTGTGAGCCCTTCTGCTATGCCTTAGCCGCGCTGACAGTGCTCTGTGCTCTGCTCAGCTTGGCGGCGCTGATGCTGACGTTGTTCCCACTGCCGATGCAGCGCATCCATCACTGGTGGAGCGAGGACGCACAGCTGGCGATGTTGTCTATCAAGGGTGGTGGCAGTAGCAGCAGTGACGGCAGCAGGAGCAGCTATGGCAGCAGTCTGGGCAGCGAATTTGTGCCCTGCACACAGATCAGCGTGCAGCGTCTGTGGACGCGCAGCTTGGCCCGGATGAACAGCGAGAGTCCGTTGCGTGCGGCCGATCTGAATGGTGATGGCATCAAGGACGTAATCTTCGGCTACGGCGTCGATGACAATATACATTACGAGGGCATACCCCTGCCACGCTGTAAGTCCGCCCAGCAGGGCGACGATGTGCCCTGCGAAGGCGGCGTCGTGGCGCTCAATGGACGCGACGGCTCCACGCTGTGGCAGACGTGGAGCGTGGCGAATGTTTTCTCGCTGCACTGCAATGTGGACATAGATCGGGATGGCGGCGTCGACTGCCTGGCGGCGGGCAGATTGGGCGTAAGTTGCACCAATACCGGAGTCTAGGTATCTCAACTTATCCTTTGATCTCCCTTTGCAGATGATCTTTGCCATCAGTGGACGCACTGGCCAAGTCATCTGGACCTTTCGTGAACTGGAAGTGGAGACCAACTCACCCATTGTGATGGATCTCTATACAATCAATGTGCTGCGCGACTTGGATGGCGATGAGGTGCCGGAGCTGATAGCTGCGCATCTCGAGGAGCGTGAGGAATCCAAGGCGGGCCACATCAAGCTCATCTCGGGCAAGACCGGCAAAGTGCTGCGCAGCATACCCACCCCACATCGCGAGGAGATGTTTGTGCCCATCCAGCTGCTGACCCATGCCGATGGCACCGAGCTACTGCTCATGCTCACCGGCGGTCAGAATACTCCGGGTGGCATCTATAGTCTCCGGCTTCTCACACTGATGGCGCACACGAGCGAGAAGCATTTCACTCCATTATACCAGCAGTCCGGGTCCGGCTTGATGGTGCCCGCCCTGCTGACCGATCTCAATGGAGATGGCGTCTCCGATGTGGTCGTCGCTGCCTTCAATAGCAGCGTCTTTGCGTTCGATGGTAAAAACTATAATCAGCTCTGGAACTATACGTTCCCGGCTAGCGAGTGCGTCAGTGCCATTGTGCCGGGCCACTTTGACCGGGATAATGTCACCGATTTTATGGTCAAGTATAATACGGGTCCGGGCTTTCCCGTCTACTACTACTCGCAGACGACGATTCTGGACGGACGTACTGGGCAGCCGCTACTCGACGCCATGATGACGGATGCGGGAGGCTCGAGCAGTCTGCTAGGTGGGGTCTCCATTTCGCAAAGCTTTGGCGGCGACTTCTTTCTGCACTGGCAGCTACAGTGTCGGAACAGGCCCAATGCCCGCGATGCCTACGAGTTCGTGCCGGATAGCGATATCATTTTGCAGGCTCGGGCGGACACCTGCCGGCTGCGCTACAACGAATCGACGGTGCTTAAGCTCTATGCGATTGCTCGGCATATTGAGCCGCCGGGCGCGGTGCTGTTTAGCACAGATGATCTGGAGGTGCAGCTGAATCGGACGCAGAGGCCAGCGCCGGCAGGCAAACAGTCACCGCTAAAGCATCCCAAGCTGCTCAAGAAGCTGCTGGCCAATCGGGAACAGCTGCTCAGACAGGCGGCAGCCACGGATGCGGCCGAGGAGCTGCAGTCGCAGGCACAGTCTGCTCCGGGTCCGGTCAAGTATACGAAGCATCGCAAGCATCCGCTGCCGGAGCTTTCGCCGGACAACGAGCTGCCCGGCTATGGTGGTGGCTATATAAAGGAGCCCTACAAGGAATTTGTGAGTTATTCAAATAAATTTGAGTCAGTAATTCTTATCAGCCGCTTCCCTTATAGAAGGACTACGAGCCGCTGCCACTGCCTGCAGAGAATCCCAATGCCATGCGAGTGCCGGAGGAGTACGAGCTGGTCTACAATGACGAGCTGCCCCCGGTGCCGGAGCAGAACGAGCGGCCCATCCACTTACGCAGCAAATATCCCAGTGGCAGCAATCGGGATGTGCGCAGCGGCAGACTGGATGCAATCACCAGCAGCGGCAGCACGAGCACTAGTACAACCAGCCTGCCGCTGTCGGCGCAGTCGCCGCTCAGTCTGTGGGATCTGGAGCTGGACAACGAGGCCCAGGAGCAAGCAGTAGATGCAGCAGCTGCAATGGCAGCAACAGCAGCAACAGCAGCAACCAGCCCAACCCCACAGTCGCAGTATCGCAGACGGCGACGCAATGACTCAGCTGCAGCCAGCAGCAGTCGAAGCAGCAGCAGCAGTGGTGGTGCTTCCTCCACAGCAGGCGAGGATGCGATAGCAACGGCTGAGACTGCACAGACAGAAGACTGGTATTTGTCATCCATCTCGTCAACTGGCGTGCTGCTCAAGGCGCTGGGCAATGAGAGCTCTGCGCTTGACTTTGCCTTTGTACTCAATATACGTGAGTCGGAGGCGTACCCACCGTTGTTCTCACCGCAGGATCTCAGCTGCGTCGAGGAGAAAATAAGCGCCTATAAAAGTGAGTTCTCTTCCTACTGTTGGCCCTTTTATTGAGTATTCATTTATTTCTTACCTCTTTAGGCTATACCGCCGATAACTTGCGCGTGCTGCGCAAGCAATTCCTTAAGCAGTGCCTGAGCGAACGCCTAGTGGACACGGAGCCCGGCTTGCCGAAATACGAGGCACAGCTAATAATTACACGAATTGGAATAACATGCACCTGCCGCACACTGCAGCCGGGTGAGGTGTGCTCCGAGCTGGATCCAATCGATGCACAACGCTGGACTGAGTTCATGGGCAATGATGGCAATGGTTATTATGCCAATTAAAAGTATAAGTCTATCCTACTAAACTCTCTCTCTCTCTACTCTACAACTATTGTAATTAATCGATTTGTGTCTGTGTGGCTGTTTCTTGTAATTGTAACAATATTTACGTGTGTTTTGTGTATATTTTATGATTTTTTAAACTACAATTACATATTTAAACTTACGATATTCCCGCCAATAAGTCTCAACTGGAAACTGCTTTGAAAGGGTGGCAACTCTACAACGTGCGAGTTAACGTGACAATTGTGGGAACATGTTACCGATTGTCACTAGCATATAATCTGGCTTAATAGTTAAATTAAACGAATATCTTTAGATAAGTAAATATCTGTAGTTAATTTAAATTTTTAAATAAGTAAATGGATTGTTTTAAACTGAAAATGAATGTTCGTAATAGATATCGATAGATTAACTTATCGATACTTATGGCCATGCCTGGTGGTTCAGCCCTAGAAAGTCCCAATTTAGACAACAACAAGAGCGCAGTAGCTGCCTAAATATTATTATTAACTTAATGCTGCCTCCAAGACACACGCAAACAACAGAATGGGCATTCTAGAGAAGATTGCGGAGATCGAGCGTGAAATCGCACGCACGCAAAAGAACAAAGGTATGTTTGCAAATGTGAAAACCGGCGCAGACAACGCGGCGTCGGAATTCGCATTGCTGGCAATGGCGTTGCCAGCTATCGGAATTTAGGGTTAGAATTTATTCTACAATTCTTAAATTTTACAGCAACCGAGTACCATTTGGGCTTGCTCAAGGCAAAGTTAGCCAAGTATCGCTCGCAACTGCTGGAGCCGGCAAAAAAGGGCGAGAAGGGTGAAGGATTCGATGTACTGAAAAGCGGCGATGCGCGTGTCGCGCTCATTGGATTCCCCAGTGTGGGAAAATCCACTATGCTCTCCACACTGACCAAAACCGAATCGGAGGCGGGTGAGTAGGGCGTGGCATACAGCAAGGATATGCCTTATAAATAATGAGTATTTTCTACTGCGCACAGCCAACTATGAATTCACGACGCTGACGTGCATTCCCGGCGTAATTGAGTACCAGGGTGCCAATATACAGCTGCTCGATCTGCCGGGTATCATTGAGGGTGCTGCACAGGGCAAAGGTCGTGGTCGTCAGGTTATTGCCGTGGCACGCACAGCAGACTTGGTGCTGATGATGTTGGATGCCACCAAGCCGAATGTGCATCGCGAACTACTAGAGCGCGAACTGGAGTCCGTGGGCATACGTCTGAACAAGCGCAAACCCAATATATATTTTAAACAAAAAAAAGGCGGCGGTCTGAGCTTTAATTCCACCTGTGCTCTGACCCGCTGCAGCGAAAAACTGGTTCAAATGATTCTGCACTCATTCAAGATCTTTAATGCAGAGGTGCTATTCCGCGAGGATTGTACAGAAGATGAGTTCATTGATGTCGTCACGGCCAATCGCGTATATCTGCCTTGCCTGTATGTGTATAATAAGATAGATCAGATCTCCATAGAGGAGGTGGATCGACTGGCACGACAGCCCAACTCCATTGTGGTCAGCTGTAACATGAAGCTCAATTTGGACTATATGCTGGAGGCGCTCTGGGAGTCACTGCAACTGATCCGGGTGTACACCAAGAAGCCCGGTGCCCCGCCAGACTTTGATGATGGTCTTATTCTGCGAAAGGCAAGTAATTTGAATTTTTGATAAAGGCATCCGTTTTTAATCTAACATTACTGACAGGGCGTCAGCGTGGAGCATGTGTGCCATGCCATTCATCGAACGTTGGCCGCACAATTCAAGTATGCATTGGTCTGGGGCACCTCCACCAAATACTCGCCACAGCGGGTGGGCATAGCCCATGTGATGGCCGACGAGGATGTCATACAGGTGGTCAAGAAGTAGGTCGCATTAATGGAGTTGAGATATATATTCTATTCTACCTATAACAACTTAATGATACAGATTATCAATCTGTTTAGCATTATCTTTCTTCAAAAATATAAAACTGTTTGTGCCGACTGACTGAGAAAGATACAGTTCAGTTCTTAAAAGAGACATGATTTTATTTTCAACGTGGCTGAATATTAATTGACCAATCTATTTGTGGATATTCCTGAGAGCTGAATTTGTTTGGAATGGGATGGATAGCTTCAAACGAAGCTATATTATTGGATAGAGCAGTCCTTGAATTCGATGATTATGTTTTAATAATTTTATTGACTGATCGATTAGAACATAACAACTAAAACCTAATCATCTGTGCATCATTTGGATGAGGTTGCATTGCTGGCCGTAGCCGCTGAGGCAGCTGCGTAGCTCTTGTTCAGCGTGCTCATCGCTGAGATGTTGGTGAAGGGCGTCGGACCGCTGCTGATGCGCTGTGGCTCTATTAGCTGCACGGATGAAGTTTCGATGGCGGCGAACACATTGGTGGCATCGCGCATACGATATCGGCGTAGATTCAAATAGTGCTCCTTTTGCTCCTCGACGCGTTGGTGGAGCTCGTGTAGGCGACCGGCCAGCGAGATAAAGGATTCGTTCAACTGGCGAAAGCCTCGCTTCAGATCGTCTGGCGATATGCTTTGTGGATTGGCTAGCGCCTGCATATGGTTTTCCGTTTGCAAGATTTGCTGTCGAAATGCAATTAGGTCCTCCTCGTACTTAGCAACTAGGCACTGAAAATATTGGAACGGCGCTGCATTCTCGAACTGCAGACCTGCCGGCGTGTCCTGCGTACGCTGAGCCATCTCCAGAGACTGTATGGCCTTTGCTGTTTCGCTACGCAGCTGCTTGATATGGCGATTGTTGGCATCCACCGAATTGGCCACGTTCTGAAGAACCCAGCGCAAATTCGTAATCTCGTGACTCACATTGCTCAGCTTGGAGGTCGAGGTACGTCCAATGTCCGATGATATTGTCTTTTGCTGTTTGATATAACCCTTAAGAGCATCCACGGTCTTGACTATTTCATCCGGCACTTGGGTCTCCTTGATCTGCAATTCAAGGACAGTTAATGCTGATCTCCCGCTGCTGCTTGGGTCTTGGTCGCACTTACCTTAATTCCGTCCTGTTTATTGTCGCCCAGCTTGGGCTGAGAGGCGCTTACGTCGATGCCGCCTAAGCCCACAAATGCAGGAGGCGCAGCTGATGTTGCCGGCTGTGGGCCCGTTGTTAACGGCTTACCAAAGATACCTCCCGTAGCTGCGGGAGCAAACGAACCGCCTAGTCGCATATTCGCATTGAATGGCTGCGCTGTGGCTGTGGTCGTGGTCGTATTGAAGTTTAAACTGGCTGCGGTTGTTGCCAGTGGCTTGTTGAATGAAAACGCGCCGCCACCTGCTCCCAATGTGGCAGGCATGGCTGTTGTTCCGAAGGCAGGCGGCGCTGTGGTAGGCGCGTTTGAAGGGGTGGAAAAATTGAAGGTTGGCGCCACGGACGCGGTTGCTGTGCCGAACGCAGGTGCAGCGGCAGAAGCTCCAAAACCAGTTGCTACGCCTCCAATGCTTCCAAAAGGAGGTGCTGAACCTACAGTGCTGCCAAAAGCAGGAGCTGCAGCAGCGGGCGCACCAAAAGTGGAGCCTGTGGTGCCCGTTCCAAAGGCGGGCGCAGAAGCGAGAGTGCCAAACGATGGCGTCGTAGTCACTGCTCCAAAAGCGGGCGCTGCTGCACTTGCTCCAAAAGCGGGTGCTGCTGCAGTTCCTCCAAATGCAGGCGCTGCGGTAGTCGCACCAAAGGTTGAAGCTGTGGTAGCTGCGCCAAATGCAGGTGCAGCTGCGGTACTGCCAAAGGCAGGCAGGGAGAGCCCGCCACTCATTGGAGCAACTGCAGCTGACGCTGGTGACCCGAAACTGAGCGTTGGCGCCGCACTTGCTGCTGTCGGCGTAAAATTAAAACTGGGTGCCGCTGCGCCCACCACAGCACCCGCTGCTCCGGCAAGACTCGAGGTGGCCGTAGCAGCGCCAAATGCTGGCGGCGGGGCGCTTGTTGCAGGTCGCCCGCCAAAATTGAAGGCGCCTGTTGCTGGTGCAGCAGTGCCGCCGCCCAAGCCAGTATTTGTTGTAGGTGTGCCGAACGAAAAGGACATTGTTTAATGCGGTATATATGTACTTTAGTCGTAACTTTATTGTATGCCGTGGAATTGTAGTAAATTATTGACTCAAACCGAAATTACACAGTAAATTAGAAGCGCACATTAAGAAATTTATCGATAACTGTTACGTTTCGTTAAAAAGAAATAACTAGTTCATTATCCAATTTAAATCAGCTCCGTATCGGCGCTCAAAAAAATACTATCGGCTAACTTTGTATGCTCGAGTTAAAATTTATAACTACTTGTTTATTTATTGATTGTATCCTTCATATTAATGTTCCATGGATACACATCGACAATATATTTCGATTGATATATACAATGCCTAATAATAAAACAGGAAATTTAAATTTTAGTATGCGCATTGGTTATGTTGCTTCGTCAAACAGAATTTAAATGAACTGCTGCTTGTTCAGCTGCTCTTAAGACACTCCACTAGCGAGTGCTGCCACCTCACTTCGATAGTACCAAGAATATACGCTAGTGGCGCTGCGCCGCATTTAGATTTTTACAGTTATTTTCACCTATCATGTGATCTTCAGTTCGCACGCGTGTTCTAAAGCAGTTTGGGAGAAATGTCCGCATTGGAAGAAAAATATACAAAATATCTAAGTGAGCATGGTATATTGCCGCGTCTGCTCGAAATACTAGAGCAATTAGTGAATATTGATCCACTTCCCTCGGATCCGCTAATGGAAATTCTGCACGCACTTGGCTGCCAGCTTATACCGCAGGCTCAAATGAAGGCCCTGGAGAGGAAGGTATCGCGCGCACAGGATGAGCTGCGTTATCTGCGACGTGTGCTAATAGATCTAGGCGGTCAGGACGAACTGTATGACAGCGACACAGACGAGAACGAATATGTGGGTCAAGTTAGCGAGATGCGCTCTACTCCCCTTTACACACCACACTCCGCCAGCGAGGAGGACTACCCGTCGCCTCAATACCTTTTGGAAGCATCGATTGCCATCAGCGAGGAGCATCAGTCACAGCAGCAATACGAGGAGGAGCAACAGCCCTGCTGCAGCCATGACTTGCAGGGAAATGTGAAGCAGTTCTAGAGAATTGCTTATGTATCGATTACATATATATAAATAGATATAGATATATATATACATATGTATATATATATATATATGTACTTTACACCACTGAGAGTAGCTCACAATTTACATTTTTCATATTTTGTTAAATTAATTTTACCATTTGAATAGATCAGACAGCGCCAGATCGTTGCATATTATGTAAACCTATATAAAAATATTACTATATAGGTATTGCCTTTTATAAAATAAGCAATAAGACCATGCTAGAACATGGCGTATTATAGGAGATCGGAGGATCTAAAGTAGCTCATATATTTTGTTTAATGTATTCATTTACATAACAAATATGTCAAGAGTAAAGTTGTGTCAACACCTAATCTTTGAATATCAAGTTATGATACTATATAATTATAACTGTAATATATAAGCTGTCGCTCGCAGAGCTTATGCTCTGTCCTTGATTCTATTCTATGAGAATGGAAAAATATATCTGAGCTATCAATCAAAACCAATCAAAACTAAAAAATAAATTTTAATTCATTTTAAACTTTAATCAAATGATTAAATAATTATTTTTAAATCTAAAAAATGCGTTAAAACATTTAAAAATGAAAACGAATGATTTGTTTATCAATATATCAAATAGCATATATATAAATGTCTACTGTAGACTGCGTATAAGTTTTAGAAATACTTATATTTTTTAACATATATAAATGATGTTTAGACTAGAAAAGCGCTGGTCACAGGTGTATTTTGATTTCGTGAAAGGATGGCAATTATTTTCAAATCAAATTGAGAACTTCGCTTCGTTGATTTGAGATAAGCCACAAGTGAGGCAGGAGAAGGCAAATTTGATGTTGCTACCACTGGGAAATCAATAAGTCAATAGCCCGCATCGCGTGCACAGTTTTAGCTGTTGCATTCGCAAACTGCGCTAAACAAAACAAAACAACAATTCAATTAACTCGAAACATGTCGTCCATGTTGACAACTGCAAACTTTATTTACTAAAGCCCTTCTCCAATTGCAAATAAGATGCGGAATGTGACCGGAATGTGAGCTCCATAACGTAAATGCCACATGACGAAACTGTGAATTTTGCAGCAGCAAAATTAGCTAAGCTCGAATAGACTGCTCTGTGGCTGTTCATCTGAGGAATAATTCAATTAAAAGAGTTTTTATTTTGCAAATTTTATGTTAAATTTAATTAGTTATACATTTCATAAAAATACATTTATGTAACATTTTCATGCTTGCTATGAGCTTAGAGCAAGTTTGCAATAAAATTTAAATTCTAATTGAATTATGATGTAGCTAAAGGTATAAATTAAGGTTCCCACTGAATCTTTACAGAGTATTTCATAGTTCTACTTAGCTCTTTACTTGTTGAAATATGAAATAAATAAAAAAGAGAGCTGAAACTATTAAAACACAATTTAGTTGGCTCTCCACTCACCCATACTTTGTATTATATCGAACACAAACGCTTCACACCTTTCAGCTGTTGCATTTTTTTATCAAATGTTTTTTAGGGTAAAGAGTTAAAAAATGCATTGCAAATATTGAAAAAGTTTAACAAAATATTTGCTATACTTGGCACTTAATAAATGTGGCTTAAAAAACATATATAAATAAAATGTAAAAAATAGTTTGCACAATTTATTTACCCGTTCGGCGATAAATCCATCTAAGCTACATTGAGTAACGTTCTGAGGGCGTTGGGCGTGGCAGCTGACAGCTGCCCGTCGTTTTGATAAATAAACCGCAGCTCCAGTTGACATACATAAATATTAGCAAAAAGAGCACTCCATTCTGAAGTGCTCGACTAGCAGTTACCCTGCAAAGTGTGCTAAGCGTTTGACTCAATAAATTTATAAGCACGAAGAGACCTGGATTATCGAATAGCCTGGTAGTGCACAGGGTATACGAGATTATATATATTAATAAATATAAAAATATAATAAAATAAAACTAATATGCCCAGAATTACCATTTTTAACGGGTATACATATAACAAATATTTCCGCTTTCTCTCTGTCTCTTTCTCTATGTTTGTATGTGAAGAGAACAAACTATATGCGCTGCAGGGGCGTGGCACTGGCTGTCAACTGTAGCGGCTGCTTTTAATTGGGTTCTCTTTTTTCTTATTTTTTTTTAAATTTTTTACAATTTATTTAGTTTTTGTGCTTGTTGTCTTTTTCCTATTTTGACTTTGAATAATTGCTGCGGAAATTGCCTTTTAGCAACAATTTTGTGGCTAAACAGAGAGAAAGAGGACAAAACAAGCGCCGCGCGATAATTGATTGAAACAAAATGCAGTCGCATTGGTTTACAAATTTCTCCATTTTGCTCTTTTTCTCTTTATTTTGTTCTCGTTCTGCCAACTAAGCTCCGCACAAGCTGCATACTTTTGGGCGCTTAATCTGTGCGTCCTGCGCAGCCCAAAATCTGCTTTGCCTTTCTGCCCGACTGCCCGACGCCTGTCCGTCTGTCCGTCTTTCTGTTCGTCTGACTGGCGTAAAACTTTAACCACGTAAAATACGAGCCCGCTGGGCAACAGCCGCAGAACACACGGCCACCGAACACACATGAAAGAAAAAGGCTAAAGAAATCCGCCCCGAAATGAACGAGCTGCAAACGTAGCGCGTTCGAATTGCATATAAAATCAACGGCTGCAATCCACTGGCCCAAAGCAGAGGCCAGCGTTGCCAGACTGGCCCGAATTCCGGATGAGCTATGCAAGCGCAACTGCGGTGCCTAATGATTTGTGCCACAGCATTTGCTCTGGCTTGTTCTACAAATAACTGTTAGTTAAATATAGAAGACAGAGGAATAAACTCATTATCTCATTTCTAACTGTAAACTGAGCCATAGAACTTAAATTTAACTACCGAAATGTTGTAAAATATGTCAAAATAATCGATTTAGCTTTTCGAAATTCCCATTGCGAGATATGAAAGTCTTCAAGTTACTTAACTATACCGTTTTTATCTATCTACTCTAGTATTTGCTAAATATCTGATATGCTCTATAGCACTGTATAGCAAACGAATATGCGCAATGCAGTTCGATATTTTGTGCAGCGCCAGACTCTAGTGCCACGCCTCCATTTAGTCCCCTCTGTTCAGCCGGCTATCTGCCGGAAAAGGCAAAGCAACTGCAACATAAAAAGTAACCAAAAATTGAAAAACAAAAAGAAAATGTGAAAAAGGAAAATGAATGAAAATGTAGCAGCGCCGAGCGGATCTCTGTGTGGGACGCCGCTTCAATTTCATGTCGAGTAAATTTTAATTTACAGCTCTTTTGTGACCGCAGGTTTTGCCGGCATGCGAGCCCCGAAAACTTTTTTACTTTTCATTTTTATTTTTATTTTTAGCTGGGTAATTTGTTTTTCTTTCTGTTTTCCTGTGCGGATATATATGACTTTTGGGCTATTTGGTCAGCTTGGCATGTTGGCCAAATAACATATATATATATATGTATATATATATATAGCCATTTTCTGCAGGGCCACATTTGGCATTAGTGCGAATAGCCGTAGGGGGTGTGGCATGGCGTGGGGCGTTCGGCTTTCACAAAAGGCGCCGCTGGACTAATTGCAGCTGGAAAAAGTCTAAACTATGCTTCATTAGCGCCCGCTGAAAACTCTATTAGCCAAATGAGGCAGCAGCGAGAAAAAAAGGAAAAAAGGCAAACGAGTCGAAAAGTTGTGCGCGTCGGAAAAACGTGCGGCGCCTAAATAATGTACAAAACTTTATTGGCAAAAGCTAAACAAAAACAATTAAAATGCAATTAAAAAACATAAATTACGGGCGGAGTTTTGTTAGCAGGGGGCGTGCTCGATGAAACTATATATGAAAATATAAAACTATTTATATATATATATGGAATCATTTATTTTTCGTGTTGTTTTTTGTCAGCTTGAGCAAATTGCAGCTCAATATGAACCGAAATACATCAATGTCTGGCACACATGCAAAAAGAAAAGAAAAACTTAGCGCGTTTTATCATCTATTGTCATTTTTCATGCTGCCAGCAGCAACAACAAGCAGTGGAACTGAAAGGGTTAACAATTTTTATGTGTCAACAAGAATAATTTGTGTCACGCAACGCAACAACTTGGCTAAGAGTTGACAAAATAGAAACAAAAACAGGCAAAAGTGTCGTAAACAAAAGCAGACAGCATATTAATAATGAAAACAGGACACACACACACACACACACGCACACACACACACGCACACACACACACACACATACACAAGGCAACCAAACAAACGTTCGAGACAACAGAAATGTGGCAAGAAATCAACAAGCAGCTAGAAATTAATACCCGCACATCCACATACACACACACAGCCACACACACACAATGTAGCCAGACACCCTTACAAACGGCCGCCAGCTACGTGCTGTATATATTTGACTCTGTATGTGTGTGTGTCTGTATGTGTATCTGTGTTACGTGCACGTGTCATAATCCTTTTGTTCTGCAACATTTTTCTCCTTTGTGCAATGTTTTTCGTATTTTTTTGCTCTTCCTGAGCTTTGCGCCTTCGGCACGAATTTTCTCCATTTCCCCAATTTTCTCAAATTTCACACAATTGCCAAGTTTTCCTCATAAAGCTATCTTTAGTAATGTGAATCTTTATTTGAAGAATTTCTTCTTGGTAGACGCAGGGAAAGCAATTAGGCTAATAATATCAACGTATTTACGAATAGGTATCGAGTGCGAGCACTCCTAAAATATATTCTATATTTTCTGAAATGGACAACTCCTCTCTCTCTCTTTCTCTCACCTTTAATATTTCCCAAGAAGTAAACCAAATTACAGATTTTGCCACCTATTTAATTTGGTTACTTTTCCATGGCCAGTTGCCTGGCAACAGATTTCTTTGTGCTCCTGCCCGTTGTTCCTTGTTCCCCATTAATCCAAATTAATGAAGCTTAGAGGCTATTTGGAACTTGTACAGCTTCTGATTGGGTGCGCTGTTATTTAGGCACACAGTTATTAATAATACGAATTG